TCATTTTCTTCCCCACATGCTCAGTGGGGTTCTGGTTCCCCATATGTTTCGTGGGGTTCTGGTTCCCCACATGTTTCGTGAGGTTATGGTTTTCTTCTCTGCCGCGTCTCACCCGCGTTCCTTCTCCTCCTCCTTCTCCTCCTCCTCCTCCTCCTCCCTCTGCGTCTCGCGCCCACATGCCCACATACACATGAGACACACGCTTACATACAGCCGCATACGCATCATACACATGACACTCGCCAGCAGATACACACAATACAACACTCGCACACGCCATACAACGCTAGTGCACGCCTGGCATGTTCACTGCATCATACACTCAAGACGCATGCACAACATACTGGGCACCCGCATGAGGCACACGTCTCGATACGGCCGCACACGAATCATACACATACACATGACATACCATATACAAAACGCGAGCGTAGGATTCGTAATGCATGGCAGAAGGCTCTCTGCGGGCAATGGCGCAGGGCAGGCGTGGCAGATTCTCGACACCGTCGGGGGTGCGCAGGGGGTGGTCTCTCACCGCGGCCGCTATGCGTGACGGTCGTCCATGGCACAGCAGGCATGGCATATTCTCGACACCATAGGCGGTGCGCAAGGGGTGGTCTCTCACCGCGGCCGCTATCCGTGACGGTCGTCCATGGCTCAGCAGGCATGGCATAGTCTCGACACCATGAGGGGGTGCACAGGGGGTGGTCTCTCACCGCGGCCGCTATGCGTGACGGTCCTCCAGTGCTCAGCAGGCATGGCATATTCTCGACACCGTAGGGGGTGCGCAGGGGGTGGTCTCACCGCGGCCGCTATCCGTGACGGTCGTCCATGGCACAGCATGCATGGCATATTCCCGACACCTAAGGGGGTTGCGCAGGGGGTGGTCTCTCACCGCGGCCGCTATGCGTGACGGTCGCCCATGGCACAGCAGGCATGGCATATTCTCGATACCGTAGGGGGTGCGCAGGGGGTGGTCTCTCACCGCGGCCGCTATGCGTGACGGTCGTCCAGGACATAGCATGCGTGGCATATTCTCGACACCATAAGGGGGTGCGCACGTGGTGGTCTCCTACCGCGGCCGCTATCCGTGACGGTCGTGCATGGCACAGAACGCATGGCATATTCTCGACACCATAGGGAGTGCGCAGGGGGTGGTCTCTCACCGCGGCCGCTACCCATGACGGTAGCCCAGGACACAGCAGGCGTAGTATATTTCCGACACCATAAGAGGGTGCGCAGGGGGTGGTCTTTCACCGCGGCCGCTATCCGTGACGGTCGTCCATGGCACAGCAGGCGTGGCAGATTCTCGACACCGTCGGGGGTGCGCAGGGGGTGGTCTCTCACCGCGGCCGCTATCCGTGACGATCGCCAATGGCTCAGCAGGCGTGGCATATTATCGACACCGTAGGGGGTGCGCAAGGGGTGGTCTCTCACCGCAGCCGTCATCCATGACGGTCCTCCATGGCACAGCAGGCATGGCATATTCTCGACACCATAGGGGTTGTGCAGGGGGAGGTCTCTCACCGCGGCCGCTATGCGTGACGTTCGCCCATGACACAGCAGGCATGACATATTCTCGACACCGTCAGGGGGTGCGCGGGGGTGGTGGTCTCCCACCGCGGCCGCTATGTGTCAGGGTCGTCAATGACACAGCTGGTCTCTCACCAGTGCCCCTATCCGTGACGGTCGCCCATGGCACAGCAGGCGTGGCATATTCTCGACACCGTAGGGGGTGCGCAGGGGGTGGTCTCTCACCGCGGCCGCTATGCGTGACGGTCGTCCAGGACACTGCGTGGCATATTCTCGACACCATAAAGGGTGTGCGCAGGGGGTAGTCTCTCACAGCGGCCGCTATCTGTAACGGTCGTCCATGGCACAGCAGGCATGGCATATCCTTGACACCATAGGGGGTGCGCAGGGGGTGGTCTCTCACCGCGGCCGCTATGCGTGACGGTTGTCCAGGGCATAGCAATCATGGTACATTCTCGACATCATTGGGGTGCGCAAGGGGTGGTCTCTCATCGCGGCCTCTATGCCTGCCAGGGTCGGAGAGCGTGGCAGGCGTGGCACTAGCTTGATACCGTCGGGGGTGCGCTGGGGTGGTCTCCCTATCCGCTGCGGGCTCGCAAAGCGTGGCAGGCGTGGCATACGTTCGACACCATAGGGTGTGCGCAGGGGGTGGTCCCTCACCGCGGCCGTTACCCGTGACGGTTTCCCAGGGCACAGCAGGCATGGCATATCCTCGACACCATAGGGTGTGCGCAGGGGTGGTCTCTGAGGGCGACCGCTATCCGTGACGGTCGTCCAGGGCGGTCGATGAGGAGGCGGAGAAGGTGGAGGAGGAGGAGGAGGAGGAAAGCGAGGAGGAGGAGGAAGAGGAGGTGGAGGACGAGGAGGAGGACGAGGAAAAGGAGAAGGAGGAGGAGGAGGAGGAGGAGGAGGAGGAGGAGGAGGAGGGGGAGGGGGAGGGCGGAGGAAAGCAGGGAATGTGAACCGGTGGGGGGAGGATTGACGATGAGTGCGAGTGAGCTCATCCTGGAGAACGGGGGACAGCAGTGAATGAGAAACGGTGGGAGGAGGATGGACGATGAGGGCGGTTGTGGTGATCGTGTTGTGGTGATCGTGTGGGGTCCCTCGTTAGCGTAATGTTTATGGCGGTTTCCGTCGTCAAGGGTCGGGGTTTCCGTGGACCTTCTATTATCGACATTGGCCTGACGAAGGACCCAACCATATCCAAGCGCGAGCGTCTTGCAAGACATGTAGAAACTGAGGGCGGGGCGAGGAACAGGACTAAGACGCGCGTGCGAAGGACGAATCGATGTTTTTGATGAGGTCACAGAGGTCAGCCGTAACGGATTACATATGTATGTAACCCGTCATGGCTGGTCTTCGCGCCTTTCAGCAGAAGATAGAGACGCCCGTCAACACACGCACACATACACACGTAACATCTAAATTAAACGAAATGGTGCGCCATTGCTCAGAGAGTACGCGCGGCGGTGGGATGTGTATTTTTCGGATCAGCTCTGACAATATCCTCGAACATCGAACATCTGCGATAGCGGCGCCTTGGAGCAACAATCACATGCGTAGTCTGAAACACGCGACGCGGTGTTTGAGTGTTGCGGGTGTGCGGCTGGCATGGCGAGCTTAACGTTCTCTTGGCGGAGGCGGAAGCCATTTGGAACAATGGTGGCAGCGACGGCCTTCATAACACACGCAACAACTCGATGACATGATGCTGGCGACTCACGGCGCTTAGGCACGGATCTGGGGTCTGTGTCTCGGCCTCATGTGCAGGACAGCCCTGCTACGTTGCCGTGGCTACGCCCGTTTTTGTTTGTCAGTTTATCTGCATTGACCAAAGTCTCGCGTGGTGGCTCGCCTACTGCAAGTTGGCCCTCGGATGATTCCGCGTTTGCCTAGTGCATGCGAGGGGGGAATCATCTCAATAGCATGATGCTAGGGGCGGCTGCTGCGGGAGTGCGCTCACGCGGGCGCTGCGACTGAGGCCTTCGGCGGAGCCCCCTATAGGGCCAGGCAGCGTGTGAGGGGGGTGCCGACATTGACATGGGTCCGCATGCGGGCGCTGCGACTGGGGCCTTCGGTGGAGCTCCCTCTGGGGCCACGCAGCGTGCGAGGGGTGTGCCGACATGGACACGTGACCGCATGCGGGCGTTGCGATTGGGGCTGTCCGTGGAGCTTCCTGCTCTCGATGGGGCCACGCAAGGTGTGAGGGTGTGCCAGAATAGACTTGAGTCCGCATGCGGGCGCCGTGACTGGGGGCCACCAAACATGTGATGTGAATTCGCGCGCGCGCGTGCGTGCGCGTGTGTGTCTCTGTGTGTGTGTGAGTGTGTGTGTGTGTGTGTGCGGGGTGGGTGGGGGTGGGTGGGTGGGTGGGTGGGTGGGTGGGGGTGCGGGTGCGGGTGCGGGTGCGGGTGTGTGTGTGTGTGTGTGTGTGTGCGTGCGCGTGTGTGTGTGTGTGTGTGTGTGTGTGTGTGTGTGTGTGTGTGTGTGTGTGTGTGTGTGTGTGCGCGCGCACGTGTGTGTGTGTGTGTGTGTATGTGTGTGTGCACGCCGCCAAAATGGACCCGAGTCCGCATGCGGGCGCTTCCACTGGGACCTTCGGTGGCGCTCCCTATTATGCCACGAGGCGTGTGTGTGTGTATACAGGTGTGCAATATATATATATATAATATATATATATATATATATATATATATATATATATATATATATATAAAGATATGTGTGTGTGCATGCGCCGAAATGGACCCGAGTCCGCATGCGGGCGTCCATTGGGACTTCGGTGGAGCTTAATGGGCCCAAGTCCGCATGTGGGCGCTCCTGGGGGGGCCTTCGGTGGAGCTCCCCATGGAGCCGCGAAACGTGCGACAGGTATGCCGAAATGGGCACGGGCCTGCATGCGGGAGCTGCCACTGAGGCCTTCGGTGGAGCTCCCTTTGGGACCTCTTAGCGTGCGAGGGGCGTGCCAAAAATGGACCCAAGTCCACATGGCGGCGCTGCCACTGAGGCCTTCGGTGGAGCTGCCCACGGGGGCCACGAAACAGGCGAGGGGTGCCACCGCATGCGGGCGCTCCCACTGGGGCATTCGGTGGAGCTCCCTATGGCTGCGGTGGTGATGATGGTGCTGGTGCTGGTGCTGGTGCTGGTGCTGGTGCTGGTGCTGGTGCTGGTGCTGGTGCTGATGATTCGAGATGGTGCTGATGCTGTCGGTGGTAACGCTACTGAAGTTGAAGCTCATGATGACGATGACGGTGAAGTGGGAGGAGGGAGAGGAGGTGGGAGGCGGAGGAGGAGGAGAATAATAGTAATGATGATGATGAGGAGGAGGAGGAGGAGGAGCAGGAGGATGCTGATGATGAGGAGGAGGAGGGGCAGGAGCAGGAGCAGGAGCATAAGCAGGAGCAGGAGCAGGAGGAAGAGACGGCTGGAGTGGCCCCGCTGTGGCCCGGCGGTTTCGACGGCGGCAGTCCCGCCCCGAACCTCGAGAGCTTCGCGGGGGACATGCTTGCGCAGGGCGTTTTGGAGAAGATCGATTGCCTGGTCGTCGGCTCGAGGTCATCTCTTCTCAAACTCTATGTCGGCGAATTGACTTTCGTCCTGCTCACGACATCTTTGGTGGACTCTCTGGCAGGAGGAAGAGAAGGACGACGCCCACGACTACGAACAGTAGCAGCAGGAAGAGGACACATGTCAGGAACGATTTACTACCTGCGCCAGTTCAGCGCCACGTCTGAACTGGTGCGGGTAGTTCAGCGCGGTTCGTGAATTCCACCCATTACTTTTATTTTCGGTGAGCGTGTTTATAGCACATTTGATTTTCACGTTGTCGAAAGTTCTTGCGCAGCTCGTCGATTCCACGCGCGTCCCGTTCATGCCAAGAATGGTACCATTTAGGTTCTTGCCTTCTGGCATATCGACATCTCTGACTGATCGAGAGTCGCTCACGGTCTAAATTATTTGCCATGCTGCAGACAGTTCTCCGTGTCAGATCGTCTCCATCCTTGTTCGATTGGTGATGTCTTCACTTCTAGCCTGTATTGTTATAGCACTCACTGTTGGAATTGGCACCCGCTTGGATTGGTGTGTCCACCGAAGTTCGTTTGCCAAAGGCACCACATGTCATCCACTGATCGCGGGGTCCTTTCGCCAGCCTCATCGCCCTCCTATTTCGCCGTCTTCCTCCGACCCCATCTCTCACTCCTTATCGTCATTTTTCTCCTCCTTGACTTCCTGATCCTCCTTGTCCTACTTTTCCTGCTCCCTCTCTCTATCCAGCCGAACACGTTTAGGATTCTGGCGCAGGAGCACATGGCTCGTCTCCTTGTCGTCGTCGACCTGCGGATCTTGTGTGTCAAGGGATGTGCTGTAGTCGCCGAGTTCCTGGTTCCATGTTTCCGGCCTCTTGTTCCTGGATCCTGGTCCTTGTTCCCAGCTCCCGGTCCTTCGCTCGTGGTTCCCGGCCCTCGACTCCCAGTTCCCGCTTCCCGCTTCCCGTCCCGCTTCCCAGATCCCAGTTCCCAGTTCTTCTTTCTCTTCTCTCCTCCACTTTCTCTCGCTCCCTCTCTCCATCTCCTCTCTCTCGTAATCTCTATGTGCATATCCATATCGGTACACACATTGATTCAGAGATGCATCAGGTGGCATGTACATACCATCTATATGACATGAAATGACATGAACTGATAGGATATGGCATGCTATGCCATGATCTGGGATGATATGACATGCTATGGCATGACATGACATGACATGCTATGATTTGACATGTTCTTATATGATATGATATGATATGATCTAATATGATATGATATGATATGACATGATGCAACATGATATGGTATGATATGACATAATATAAGCAAGCAGGCCAGGCTCCCTTCTGGGGCGTCCTCCACCTCGATCACATCTGGATTACGCTCCCGGTCCTGCGCTTCCCGGCCTCCTGGGGAGCCCCCCCAAACGCCCAAAGACAGCCCAAGACGACCCCAAGAAGCCCCCAGAACGTAAAAGAACTGCCCAAGACGCTCCCAAGCAACCCAGGATAGCTTGCGGGCGGCTCTCCAGGCTACCAGGAGGCCTCCAAGAGACTTCAAGAGAGCTCCAAGGGGCCTCCCGAGCGCTCGGAGAACCTAAAATCGTTAATTTCCATTGGTTTGTTTCGAAGGTTTTTGGCCTTCTCACCATTTCATGCTTCAACGCTCCAACACGGCCGAAGAGGCCCCCAAGACCGCCACAAGACCGCCCAAGAGGCTCCCAAGACTGCTCCAAGACGGGTCAAGACGGCCCCAAGACTGCCGAAGAGGCGCCCAGGACAGCTCCAGACCACCCTAGAACAGGGCCAAGATGAGCCCAAGAGCGGGAGCAGAAGGCCTCCAGAGACCTCCGAGAGGACTCCAGGACCCTCCAGAGGCCTCCAACACACCCCAGACCCCTGAGGGGCCCAGAAAAAAACCCGACGAGGCCCCCCAAACAGCCCAAGAGAGCCCCGAGAGCCGTCCCGAGAGAGCCCGAAGAGGGTAAAATAGTTGATTTCCATTGGTTTTTGTCTACGTTTTTCGCCTTCTCACGTTTTCTCGCTTCCAACGCTCCAAGATTAAGGATTATTTAAAGGGATTTTAATCAGCAAACACGCTCCCCCCCCCCCCCCCCTCTGGGGGGTCCCAAAACTTCCTGGAACATCTGCGGAACGCTCCTGGTACCGGGATCCCCCAAAACGTACAAGGGCAGCCCAACACGACTTCAAAAAGCCCCCAGAACGTCAAAGGACGGTCCAAGACGCTCCCAAGCAACCCAGGATATTGGGGGTGGACAGACCTCCCACCTTGACACGTCGATTGAGGAATTGGCAGTTTTCGGTTCGCGAGGGGGCGTCGCGGCTGTCGTTTTTGCGGGTCCAGGTCCGTCGGTTTCGGTCCCAGGGCGTTTTCACTAAGGGGAGGTCTACTAAGGGGAGGTTTTTCCACCGCCGAGGATAGCTGTCGGGCGGCATTCCAGGCTCCCAGGAGGCCTCCAGGAGACCTCGAGAGTTCCGAGAGGCCTCCCGAGCGCTCGGAGAACCTAAAACCGAAAGCGCGCCACTGTATCACCCTGTAATTGAAAAGGAGGGGGTGCTCGCAGAACCCCCCCCCCTCCCTCCCCCCCTTCAAAGGGGGGGTGAGATTTCCCCCCCCCCCCCCCCCCCCCCCCCACCCCCACCCCCTTATCCCCTTAAGGGGGGGGTCCGAACCCCGGCCTTCCCCTCCCCCCTTGAAGGGGGGGGGAGGGGGTCCGGACCCCCCCCCCTCCCCCCCTTGGCGCTGGAAAGGGGAGGGGGGGGGGGGGTCGAACCCCCCCTCCCCCCCTCCCCCCCTTTGCGCCGAACAGGGGGCCCGGGAGGGGGCCTCTCCCGCAAGGGGGGGGGGTCTGGCCTCGGGATAGTGAGTAGTGCGTAGTGAGTAGAGAGTAGTGAGTAGTGAGTAGTGAGTAGTCAATAGTGAGTAGTGAGTAGATAGTAGCTAGTAGTGAAGAGTGCGGAGTGAGTAGTGAGCAGTGCGCAGTGAGTAGTGAGTAGTGGGTAGTGAGTAGTGAATAGTGGGTAGTGGGGAGTTGGTAGGGAGTAGTGAGTAGCGAGTAGGGAGTAGCGAGTAGTGAATAGTGAATCGCGAATAGGGCATTGTGAGTAGTGAGTAGTGAGGAGGGAGTAGGCAGTAGTGAGTAGCGAGTAGGGAGTAGCGAGTAGTGAGTAGTGAGTAGTGAGTAGTGAGTAGAAAGTAGTGAGTAGTGAGTAGTGAGAAGTATGTACTGAGTAGTGGGTAGTGGGTGGTGCGTAGGGAGTAGCGAGTAGTGAGTAGTGAGTTGTGAATACTGAGTCGTGCGTAGTGAGCAGTGTGTACTGAATATTGAGTAGTTAGTGAGTAGTGATTTGTGACGAGTGACTCATGAGTAGGGAGTAGAGAGTAGGGAGTCGTGAGTAGTGAGAGTAGGGAGTAGCGTGTAGTGAGTAGGGAGTAGTGAGAAGTGAGTACTGTGTAGAAAGTAGCGAGTTGCGAGGAGCGAGCAGCGGATAGTGAGTAGTGAGTTGTGGGCAGTGGGTGGTAAATACTGAATTGTGAATACTCAGTAGTGAGTAGTGGGTAGTGAATAGTGTTTAGTGAGTCGTGAGTATTCAGTATTGGGAAGATAGTATTGAATAGTGAGTAGTGAGTTGGGGGTAGTGAGTAGTCAGTAGTGAGTAGTGGGTACTGGGTAGTGAGTAGTGGGTAGTGAATAGTGAATCGTGAGTAGAGAAAAGTAAGTAGTGATAAGTGAGTAAGTAGCGAGTAGTGAATAGTGGGTAGTGAGTAGTGATTAGTGAGTACTGAATACTGTTTGGAGCTAGGGTTCGGGTTTGGGGTTCGGGTCAGGGGTGGTAGGGATGGTAGTGTTAGGGGTGGTCGGGGTCGGGTTCCGGAGCCAGGGGTCGCCGTGGCGAAATGGAGCGAGGGGGGGGGTCGATTTTGGCGGCTAAGGGGGGGCAAGGGGGGGGGTCCAGATCCCCTCCCCTTGTTAAAGGGGGGAGGGGGGGTGTCCGCGACGACGGACCGGGAAAAGGGGGACAGGGGGGGGGTCCCTGACGACGGATCGGGAAAAAGGAGGGGAGGGGGGTTGGTCCCCGACGACGGACGGGGGAAAGGGGGAGAGGGGGGGGGGGAGATCCAGTGGCGCGCCCTCCCTAAAATAGTTAATTTTCATTGTTTTGTTTTAATGGTTTTTGGCCTTCTCACCACTTCATGCTTCCAACGCTCCAACACGGCCGAAGAGGCCCCCAAGACCGCCACAAGACCGCCCAAGAGGCTCCCAAGACGGCTCTAAGACGGGCCAAGAAGGCCCCAAGACTGCCGAAGAGGCGCCCAGGACAGCTCCAGACCACCCTAGAACAGGCCCAAGATGAGCCCAAGAGCGGGAGCAGAAGGCCTCCAGAGACCTCAGGGGGGATTCCGGGACCCCCCAGAAACCTCCGACACACACCAGACCCTTGAGAGGCCCACAAGTAAGCCCCGACGAGGCCCCCAGAACAGCCCAAGAGAGCTGCGAGAGCCGTCCCGAGAGAGCTCGAGAAGGGAATCGTTGATTTCCAGGGTTTGATGTCTACGTTTTTCGCCTTCTCACGTTTTCTCGCTTCCAACGCTCAAAGACATAGGAATTTCAAAACATGGGAATTCCAGATATTGTTTTTTCCCCAGTTGTGACTCCTACTCCCTATCCTCTTCCTCGAGCCCCATGAAGACTTCGGAGCCGCATGCAAAGATGTGTCGGGAATATTGTTGAACTCTAGCAGTGTTTTGGCACTCTCGTAGGTCGTCTTCGCGTCCTCTTGGCTGCTCCTGAGACCGCCGTAGAAATCGATATCCCATGATCCCATAATTTGAAGCAGCAATTTCCTTTTATTTGAAACTCACCATCTGCTCATTTTTGCACGAAGATCCCGAGAAGCATCCCAACGGAACGTGGCCTGTATCCAGAAAATGTTTAACCCACAGCCCAGGCACGGCAACTTGAAGAACATCGACATCCCACCATTTTTTTGTTTCAAGTTCGCCTCCCCTCTACTCTTGCGCAACAGACCAAAATGAAGGCCCCCCTCAGCTCCCAGAAAGGAAACCAAGAAGCCGTTCAGGTCCTCAAATCGTTGAACACCTACCGGAAATTAAAGGTTTCCGCGTTTCCACAGTTCCCCTCCTATACGGTTCCGAGGCTTGCGCAAGGCATCCAAGAGAATCCCTGGATGCAAGAAGCGACAAACATGATATTCCATTGTGTAGCCTATCAAGCCTGGCTAGAATTTGAGCGCGCGCGAAGCGCGCGTGATGGTTCTGGTATATATGTGCGTGTTGAGCGACAGTGGATAAGGTTGTAGAAGCCGCGCTCCCTTTCTCACCCTCTCTCTCTTTCACTCCCTCCCTCTCGTTCTCTGTCTGCTCCCTTTCTGTCATTTGTAGTCTTTATACATATATATCTATATAGACATGTATGTATGTATTTTTGTATGTATGTATGCATGCATGCATGCATGTATGCATGTATGCATGTATGCATGTATGCATGCATGCACGTATGCATGTATGCATGCAAGCATGTATGCATGTATGCATGTATGCATGTATGCATGTATGCATGTATGCATGTATGCTTGTATGTATGTATGTATGTATGTATGTATGTATATATATATATATATATATATATATAAAAATGTATGTATATATACACACACGAGAGAACCATCGCGCGCGCTTCGCGCGCGCTCAGGTTCTAGTTGAGGTCACCGCTCAGGTGCGATGTCCGCGACGACTCTTACCACGAAGACGGCGGCGTACACTGCAAACCACGTGTTCCGGAAGCGCACTTCTGGAACATGGGAACGGATATCCCCGATCCTCATCGTTCTGCTGTGCTGCTTTCTCCGTTGTTATTCCTCCCTCTTCCTTTTCTGCTCCTCCTCTGGGCGTTCCGCGCGGCGCTGTAGTTCGCGCCGTCTGGGACCTTGGAGAGAGTGCTGAAGTCGTCGGCGCCGCCGTCGTCGTCATCGTCGTCGATGTCGTCGTCGTCGTTGTCGTCTTCGTCGTCGTCGGCTTTCTCGTCGTCGCCGGCGTCCTCGTCGTCCTTTCGTTTTCCTCGTCGGCGTCGACGCCGTTTTCGTACTTGGCATTGACGTCCTGGTGGATCTCTTGGAGGCAGGTTTGAAGCGTCCTGGGAGCTGTTTTGGGGCTTATTCGAAGCCTGTTGGGGGCCTCTTGGGGGTTTCTCGGGGCATCCTGGGGGTCTCTTCGTGCCTCTGGGGGTGGCCTGTCGGGATTTCCTGGCGCCCTCTTGAGGCGGAAGGCTCGGAGTTCTGTTCCTCCCTGGAGCCCGCCTTGGGGCCGTCCGAGGGCGTGCTTGGGCCGTCTCGGGCGCCTCTTGGGCTGTCTTGGGGCCTCTGGGGTCGTCTTGGGGCCCTATTGGGGTCTTGGGGTCATGTTGGAGCGGTCTTGGGGGCCTCTGGGGTCGTGCGCCGGGTTTCCGAAAAGGCGCGATTCCGAGAAGCCTTCAAAGACGCAGGGAAAATTAAAGAAATTGGCCTCTTCGGGCTCTCTCGGGAATGCTCTTGGAGGACGCCATGTTCCAGGAGCCGAGGCCGACAGTGCCGCTCACGTTCGCACGCCGCGTTCCGGAGGAGCGTTCCCGGAGCATGGGGCGCCAGAGGCTCCCCCGCTCTTCCCCCCTCCCAGACCATCCTGTCGAGGAACTCTTGGGTCGCGCAGGGCTGGTCTTGCGGGCTCCCTGGGGCCTTCTGGGCCCGCCTAGGGCTGTTTGGGAGCGGGCCTGGAGGCGCGCTGGGTCCTATTGGAGCGTCGGAAAGCCGAAAAGACAAGAAGGCCAAGATCCTCCAATTCCTACGTAAAATGAGCGATTTGGGCCTGTTGGGACCCTCTTGGGGGTGCTCCTGGAGGCGTCTTGAGCCATGTTTGAAGCCTCTTTGAAGCTACCTGGGGCCTCCTGGGGCTCTGCGGAAGCCCTGGGTTTTCCGGACGCGGTCCGTCTTTTGGACACCTCTCGGGCCTGTTTTGGGGCACTCGTGGGCTGCCCTTGGCGCTTCTTGGGCCAGCCTTGGGCTCTCCGGGACCGCCTCGGGGCGGCTTTGGGCGCTTCTGGAGCTGTTTGGGGGCGGTCTCGGAGGCCTCCTGGGCCGCCTAGGAGCGTCGGACAGCCGCAAAGATCAGAAGGCCAAAACCTTTCCAACATCATTGTAAAACCATCAATTTTTGGCCTGCTGGGGCCCTCGTGGGAGTGCTTTTGGAAGCGTTTGGAGCCATGTTGGAGGACTCTTGGGGGCTGCCTGGGGCCTCCGGGTCACTGTTGAGGCGGGAGCCCTGGGTGTTCGGTACGCGGTCCTTCTCTTGGGCCCTTCTTGAGCTTGTTTTGGAGCCTTCTTGGGCTGTCGTGGGCGCTTCTTGGGCCAGCCTTGGGCTCTCCGGGGCCGCCTTGGGCTTGTCTTGGGTGCCTCTGGGGCTGCTTGGGGGCGGACCTGGAGGCCTCCTGGGCCGTTTTGGAGCGTCGTACGACCGAAAAATACAGAAGGCCCAAATCCTTCCAAAACCATAGGAAAACCATGAATTTTGGCCTCCAGGGGCTTTCTTGGGAGTGCTCCTGGAAGCGTCTGGAGCCATGTTGGAGGCCTCCCGAAACCTCTACCACGTGCTTCGGCGACATGGGTCGAAGATGGGAACCATTCCTGGTGCTGAAACATCGCCAGGGTCCGTCCAGAGCCGCTCGGGAGACGCCCCGGAGCGGCTCCAGAGAGGCCCGGGGGGTGGTCCTCCCATGGCGAGTCGAGGCAGTTGGCCAAAGGCCCCCGGCCTCGTACCCCGACACATATATATATATGTGTATATATATTCCTCCGCTTCCGACTCCACCTCCTCCTTCCATATACATATATAGACATTATAGATATGTGTGTGTGGTCACATATACACATGTTGATCCTCCTGTGAGTTCTTCTTCTCCTCCTCCTCCTCCTCCTCCTCCTCCACCGTCTCCTCCTCCTCCTTCTCCTCCCCCCCCTCTCACCCCTCCTCCCCCTCCTCCCCTCAACCCTTCCCCTCTTCTCCCGAGTGGCTGGCACCTTGCTCCTTGGGTCTCTGGGATATTTCCCAACCATCCTGTGGTGTCGGGTCCTCGTTTTGAAGAGACGGTGCCCTGCGTCTCCTTCTCCTCCCGCTGCCCCCTCCCTCCTCCCTCCTCCCCCTCCTTGCCTCTGCTCTCGGCACACCCCTCTCGTAGCCCCATAGGGAGCTCCACCGAAGGTCCCAGTGGCACTGCCCGCATGCGGGTCCCCCACCCAGGGCAGCGCTTCGTAGCCGCATAGGGAGCTCCACCGAAGGTCCCAGTGGCACAGCCCGCATGCGGTTGCCCGACCCAGGGCAGCGCTTCGTGGCCCCATAGGGAGTTCCACCGAAGGTACCAGTGGCACAGCCCGCATGCGGTTCCCCCTGCCCAGGGCAGCTTTTCGTACACCCACAGGGAGCTCCACCGAAGGTGCAGTGGCACAGCCCGCATGCGGTTCCCCCACCCAGGGCAGCGTTTCGTGGCCCCACAGGGAGCTCCCCCGAAGGTCCCAGTGGCACAACCCGCATGCGGTTTCCCACCTAGGGCAGCGTTTCGTGGCCCCATAGGGTGCTCCACCGAAGGTCCCAGTGGCACAGCCCGCATGCGGTTGCCCCACCCAGGGCAGCGCTTCGTGGCCCCATAGGGAGAGGTCCCAGTGGCACAGCCCGCATGCGGTTCCCCCACCCAGGGCAGCGCTTCGTGGCCCCATAGGGAGCTCCACCGAAGGTCCCAGTGGCACAGCCCGCATGCGGTTCCCCCGCCCAGGGCAGCGTATCGTGGCCCCACAGGGAGCTCCACCGAAGGTCTCAGTGGCACAGCCCGCATGCGGTTGCCACACCCAGGGCAGCGCTTCGTGGCCCCATAGGGAACTCCACCGAAGGTCTCAGTGGCACAGCCCGCATGCGGTTCCCCCACCCAGGGCAGCGTTTCATAGCCCCATAGAGAGCTCCACCGAAGGTCCCAGTGGCACAGCCCGCATGCGGTTCTCTCACCCTGGGCTGCGCTTCGTGGCCCCATTGGGAGCTCCACCGAAGGCCCCAGTGGCGCAGTTCGCATGCGGTCCCCCCTCCCCCCCACCCAGGGCAGCGTTTCGTGGCCCCATAGGTAGCTCCCCCGAAGATCCCAGTGGCGCAGTTCGCATGCGTCCCCCCCGCCCAGTACAGCGCTTCGTCGCCCCATAGGGAGCTCCACCGAAGTTCCCAGTGGCGCAGTTCGCATGCGTTCCCCCACCCAGGGCAGCGCTTCGTGGCCCCATAGGGAGCTCCACCGAAGGTCCCAGCGGCGCAGTTCGCATGCGCCCCCCCCCCCGCCCAGTACAGCGCTTCGTGGCCCCATGCGGGGCTTCCCCGAATGCGATGCCCACAACTGCATATGGTTGGGTCCTTCGCCAGGCTAAGTTTTGCGCCCGTGCCCAATGTCCAACGCGCGTGGGCTCCAACATGTGCTTCTCGTCGGACATGCCGATGCCAATGATGTCCAGCACCCTCTTGATCACGTCGACGTAGTTTTGCCGCGTCTTGGATGACCTCGGGATAAGATGCGCATTGCCCCGCACACGAACACGGTTTTCGAGGTGTCTGTGGTCTCGAATCCACGCTGTGTCTACAGCATCTCGGATGTAGTCGAGGGCACCAAACACATCAGAAATAACTGCCTGGGAATTGAAGATGAAACCTAAACATCGGGCAACCTGGTGTAGTTGCCAGGCAAGCGGCGCCGACGTACGGGTTCGTACGAACAGCCAAAACGGCCATGGTGTATACGCACCAACTGCGAGGAAGCAACCCGCGTGTGATGTGAGGCCCGCGGAACACACCTCGCAGACAAGGTAGTCGCACGGCTGGAAATCACAGTTCCACTTGCTCCAGGCATCTTATGTTAGTTGCTATACGTGGTAGTTCTTAGAGAACGCACGTGGGGAAGCCCAGCCATTGATCCGACGTGTGTGTTTTATAACATATCGGCGGTAGAAACATGCTTGTCGCGCGTGCGTAATACTGAACGGATGCGCCGCGCACTGCTGTAGGTGCATTTGGCGCTCCATGCGCATATATACACGCGGGCATCTAGACGCACATAGATCTATACACAGCACGCCCCGAAAATGACCAGCCGACTCGAGTCCAACACTGGGCCATACATAAGCAGCTTGCACACATAATTGACGATCGACCGCGTCTTCGGCGTCGCGGACCGCTCGCGCTGGGCTGACGCCGCAGCAGTGGCGGAGACGCGGCGCCCGCATGGGGGGGGGCGGCGGCGCAGGCAAGACGAGCAGCAGCGCAGAGAGGAGGAACGGCGGCGCAGAGAAGGGGGGCAGAAGCGCAAGCTGGAGGAGACACGCCAGCGGGCGGCGGAACGACGCCAGTTGGGGGAGCGGCAGCGCCAGGAGCACGTGGTCCACATGGCGTGGCTCGCGAGGGCGACCGACGCATGTGCGAGGGGCGCGGCGCCGCCTGCGCGCAGGCCCCGCCGCCGGGCGACTGGGTGGCCGACCCCCGCGGGCGACAGGCCGTAGGTGACGATGGCGACGGCGATGACGAACCGATTAAATATCACGACGACGACGGCGCTGGGGAGGGATGGCGGGGACGCGACGCCGACGAGCACGGTGGCGACAGTGACGACGGCGGCGTTGCAACGAGTTGCATATAGGTGCGGTGCATGGCCTGCGGGGCGGACAGCGTCGACCCGTCGTCGCAGCCCACGTCAGCATGCGCGCAGCTGGTAGCGTCGAGCGGCGCCGCGACGGGCAACCACTTAGCTCAGCTCGCGCGGGCGGCGCGTCATTCTGAACTCCCCCCTCCTCGCCTCCGTTGTCATGCACTGCTCGTGTCGTTCGTCGGGGCGTGCGTGGTTGCAGCTGCTGCTGGCGTTGCGTGGCCGCGCTTGGTTCAGGCCTTGCAAGGTTGCAAGAGCTGCGTGCCGAGCGGCCCCGCGCGCGTCGGCAGTATAGCAAGCATCGGCGACGTCATGCATTATGTCTCCGGCTTCCCAGGATTGATCGCCAAACGTCTTGACAGCGAAGAGTGCAGACGAACCATTCTGCATCGCTGCGCAGTCGGATCTCGCACCTCTCGTCTTTGTCAACGCCAGGTGCGCTGGCTCCTGCTAACTCGGCTGAGCCGAAGTGCGCAGCGGCCTGTGTAGAGGACGCAGTGCTGACCGCAATCGACTGCAAAGTCGCCAAGGTGACATTCACGACGTCGGAGCCACGCGCGAATGATGGCGAGCCGTTCTTCGCTCATTTGTGCACTTGTATGGGTGGGGAAGATTGTGTTGTTCGCGGCGGTTTCAGGGCATCCGATTCCAAGAAGATCAATGTCATTGCAACTCGCTTGCGCCGTCTGGGGGCCGCGCAGCCCGGGCTCGACGTGCGCTTCAAATGGGGCGCCGCCATCTTGGCGCACTGCGAGCGCGCGCGCAAAGAGACATGGCCGAGCTACCGCTGCATCGACAACGCGTTTCGCGATCTCGTATTCCACATGAGGAGAGCGGCGGGCGCGCTCACAACGGCGGGGGTCATGCGTTTTCCTGGGCGTCCTGCGGATTTGCCCTCGCCTTTGCTCGCGGCCGCGCGTGGCGATGACGACCCGCCCGCGGAGAAGTTCATCGTCTTATGCGTCTCGTTTGGGACGCGCGCCCCCGCGCGCGGCAAACGGCATCCTGCCCTTGGAAGCGCGGGCAGGCAGGTGGGGGGCCGCGCGTTCGGTCTCTCGGGGCCGCGCAGTCGCTCGCGGGGGCCGCGCAGCGGCACGGCGCCCCAGGTGAGCGAGATGGCGCCGCAAGTTTGCGCCCGAAGTGCACGGCGGGGCCCCCGCGTGGACCGCGCGCGACGGGCGCGGCGAGAAGCAGCAGCTCGCACTCGCAAGGGGCGCTTACAGGACGGCAATTGACACGTGGCAACGTGGACAGGATGCTTGAGAGTTAGAAGGGTAAGCGTCGATGTGTGAAGAGACGGGCTGCCATTGCGCCGCGTGCGAACAGATCGGGCGCCGCTGTTCGCGTCGCGTTTGGCCTAGCGTAGCGATCATCCATGTTCTCGGAGCAACAGTCGACACTTCTGCGCGCTCGGTGCTCTTTTTCCACTCGCGCGCGGGCGCGCGACGCGCGCCCCCCTCTCGGCGAGCCCAGCGCGCGCAGAGCATGCTCGTGCAAGGCCCGGGCCCTTCCTTCGGCCCAGGCCCCACTCGCCCGCGCGCGCCAACATCTCATGCACTTTTCGCGCGTGCTGGGGCGCGCGGGCTCGACTGCAGATCTGCGCGTGCAGCTGCGCAGGCATGCGCGCAGTGCGATGTGCGTTGCAGGGTCGACTGCGCGTTTGCACCGTTGTCGCTCGGGCGGGCGGCAGGGGGGGGGGGCGGGCTGCGGGGGTGGGTGAGGGGGGGTGGATGAAGACACCGCGTGCATTTCCTAGATGCTGCGTTTGGCGCCCCGTTGCAGTGGTGGCTGCATGGCTGCGTGCGCGCGCGATTCCAGGCTCGTTGCGGACGCGGCCGCGCGTTTGCAGGCGTCTGCAGTTTGACCTCATAGATGCATGCAATAATTGAAGTATGCGGGCCCGTTTGGCTCGCAGGTGTGTCTGCAGTTGTGCGTCTTTGGTACGTGCGCGCGTCGGTATTTGTAGCCGCGCGCGCGTTTCGATACTGATGATGGGGTGCTCTTGCACATGACCGCATCTGATCTGCCGCCCCCCCCCCCCCCCCCTTGCACACTGACAGTCGCGCTGGCGTCGCAAGCGCCGCCCGCCCCCGCGCCTCGCAGTTGCCATTGCGGCCTGCGCGGCGGTTCGTTTCTGCGCGGCTTGCCTGGCTGGCGCACCAGGCTGAGATACCGACGCCCTAGCGTCCGCGATGTTAAGATGGAGTCTTTTAGGAGTAAATGCCCGCGTGCGTCTGCAGCCGCGCTGCCTGCAATGTTGGACGAATGCGCGTGAGGGTCTTTCGCTGCGTCTCGGTGGGAGATCCGCGAGGCCGCGGGCTCCGCCGTAGAACAGACGGCGCCGCGTTGCGCGCTGTTTCGTGGGTGCATTGGTTTCGCCGTTGGTTTGGATGCGAAGTTTCCTTTTGCAAACTTCTTTGCGTTGCCCAGCGTTGTTTCATGCGTCGCGCGATCAATGCGCTTGCTGGCGGGCCGTCATTCAGAGCGCGCTGGCAAGCGTGCCGCGTTCGCTCGAATGGCCGCGGTCGTTAATGCGTCCTCTGGGCGAAGCAGGCTACCAGTTGTCGCCCGGAGAATCCAGGGATACGGGGGTGTTCCACGCTTCTTTCTTGAAGCTTGGACCAGAAGTGCCGCCGCAAGAGGGCGCTTGGTTCTGTGCGTGAGCTCTGCAGTCGAAGCGCGTGTCCAACGTTGATCGGGGGTGGCGCAAGCATTGGAGATGTCGGTTCAGCAATGTAGGTCGGGCTGTTCGCTGCGCGCGACTGGCGTTGCGCTGGGGCCCGGGCAGGGGCGCGGCGCGCGCTCGGGGCGGCCCCCCAAGACGGCGGGGCCCAGGCGCTCATTTGGCACACCATTGGGGGCGCAGGCGCCAAGTGCTGCGTGCTTTGTCGCGATGTCATTGCAATGGGCAGCTCGTGGGCCGACGATGATGGCGCGGCCCTGCCGGGGGCAGATGCGACGCGCCAGCGCGACGGCGTCTTCGCGGCGCATGATGACATGGGGGGGTGGGGGGGGGGGGGCGCGCGGGGGCGCGCAGCGTTCCGCGCGGGGCGCCATCGCCGATCGGAGCGCCTGCACGGGCGACTGGGGGGGCGGGGGGGGGGGGGGGGGGCGCGGGGGGGTGGATTTGGGGGTGGGGGGTGGGGGCGAGCCCCATCGGATCCGTGAACAAGCATTCGGTTTCAACCACCACGTCCAGAACATGTTGCTCGGCCCGCAGCTGGGCCGCGTTCCTTTCCTGGTCGAGCACTGCTGCCGTGACTGGATGCGCGCGTTCTTCATTCGGGGCGCGGTCAATTACGGCGCCTTTTTTTTTGGGCGGGCTGCAAAGCAAGTGGGCAAGGCAATTTTTACCCCCAATTCGCAGAGCACGTCGCTCCGTGGACCCTCTTCTGGGCGCGCGGGCCCGCTGGCAACGCTGCCAAATGGCATCCAAGTGCCATGCTTCTGGGGCGTTTGCGTCGTTGCTCCTGATGCCCGTGTTCATCATGAAAGCGTTGATGCCCATGGATGTTGCCCGCGCGGAGCGCGTCGCCATCGCTCGCTCGCGCGACTTGGCGCGGCGCGTCGACGCCGCGGCGGCAGGCGGCGCGCTGGGTGCGCCTCTCAGGCAGAGGGCGGATGATATTTCCCGGATGCTTGTGAAGCAGCAGGGGGCGGGGGGGTCAAGACTACGTGGCGCCGAAGTCCCATTGGTAGGTCAATTTCCCGAAGCAGCTGATCAGGTTTGGATGCCTCCTTTCGCGCATTGTCCAAGACAGGAAACGCGGGGTCGCCAAACGGTTTTGCAGCGATATGCGCCAGGTGGAACCTTCGGAGAAGAGTGCGCGGTCGCAGGCTACGCGTCTCCACATAGCCAACCTGCGCAGCGCCGACGCCTTCTACTTCGCGCCGCCGTTGGTTAATCCGGCGGCGCCCAATAAGGTGCGCGCTTTCCTCGAGGATGAACTCGGCCAGCGTCTCCCGCTGGGGTCCACGACCGCGGCCTTGAAGGCTCGTGCGTCGTCGCCGGCAACCTGCCTGTCTCGGGGCGTCGTGCTCTTCCCCGTCGCAGGTGGTCACAAGGCGGTCGTGTGTGTGTGTGTGTGTGTGTGGTTCCATGGTGGCGCCCTTTGAACGATGGCGTCGCTGGTATCTGTCTGGAACGTCTCTCAGTGCGATGGTCGGCTTGGCGCGCCGACCGTGGCGCAGACCGCCGACGATGTGCATCTGGTGCACGCGACCGACGTCCTCACTCCCATGGCGGGGCTCTTCGTTGTCAGTTTGCAAACCGTCGGCGCGATGCTGGCGTGCCACATTCAAGCGAATGTCCGCACTCGCGCGTGCGATCGCGCAACAGTGGGCGCATATATTTGCAATGCGTGGGGCGCCCGTTGTGGTGCTCTGAAAAGAATTGCAAACCGCCCGAAGGCATGCATACGCAGTGGATGTGGATTCATCGCAATAGTGCCTCCCACGTTCACGTGGGAAGCGATCCCGGGAACTGCTTTCGGATTTCTCGTGCGCAGCGACGCATGATCTTACAATCTTGCATGGGTTGATATCGCCGGCCTTGCGCTTCACGCGCAGAATAATGCATTGTTGCAGATGAGACATGCGTTCCATGCGCACCACCACGCACGTACTTGCAAATCGTTGCGTTCATGTAGCGTAACCTTCAACTGAGCAAACTGCTTTGCTAACATCGCTAATTCTGACAACCACCCAAGCTCACTGTAGCAGTTCTCCGTTCCCGGTTCCCGGTCTCTGCTTTTCTTGGTTCTTGGTCCCGGTTCTCGGTTTTTGGTTCTAGGCTTCCGGCTCCCAGCTCCAGGATCCCAACTCGTAATTAGCGGCTCGCGGTTCCCGGATCCGGGTTTCCAGTTCCCCGCTCCCCGTTCCCAGTTTCGGTTCCTTGCGGTTTCCGCGGTCCCCGGTTCCCGGTTCCCGATGATTCGTGGTTCCGGTTCCCGCTTCTTGGCTTTCGTTCCCAGTTCCCGGCTCCCAGATCCCAGTTCCCAAGTCTTTTCACGATTCATCAGTAGTGTGTGTGTGTGTGTGTGTGTGTCTGTGTGTGTGTGTGTTTGTGTGTATCGCCCGCTGTTCTTGCCTTTGTTTCACCCTTGTTGAGGGGCGGTCAAGTGGTCCTCCCGCACCTGTGGAAGAGTGCCGGCAGCAGCACACCACCCGCCATCGTCATCAACGGGGGCTGCGCGATGAAGCTTCCAGAGGCGAGCTGCGCATTTGTGCCATCATGCCCAGGAGGAGCGGGGCAGCATATACATCAGAGTCGGAACATACTCCGATCACGCTACCCTTTTTTCGTCACCGCGGCTGGATTCGCTTCGAACTTCTGGTCAGAAGGCACCCCAGGAGAGGTCCGTGGAGTAGAGATCTGGCGATCTGTCCTGATACCCGGAAATCTGGTGGCGACTGTCAGGGCGGTGTCGATGCTCATTCGGCGATATGGTGGTCAGGGTCGCAAGAGCAATGCGGATGAGAAGCGGAGTAAAACAAACGTAGGTAGTTTCACAATTTGTGTGACATAGTGACATGTTGGTTGTGGTATCGTAAGGCAAGGTGCGGGTGTAAAAGGAGGGTGTGGTTGTGGAAAAGGAGGAGGGGGAGGAGAAGGAGGAGGAGGAAGAGGAGGAGGAGGAACTGGCGGAGGAGGACGACAAGCAGCAGGTTGAGGGAGAGAAGAGGGCTGCTGCTTAGGAGGAGAATGAGGAGGAGGAGGAGGAGGAGGAGGAGGAGGAGGAGGAGGAAGATGAGGCTCAGGAGGCTGAGGAGGCTGAGGAGTTTTGGGAGGCTGGAGAAAATGGAGGGGAGAGAGAAATAAGGAGGGAGGAGGGGGAACTGGACGGAGGAGGAGGAGGGACACAGAGATGAGGGTGAGGAGGAGGGTGCGCACGACGATGACAGGTGATCAGGGCGACGATGAGGACGAGAACGTCGAGTATCCAGACCCCAACGTGGACCACCAGAGGTCTGGACCCCTTCTCCGGGGACTGGATTTTAACCCCGAACATTTGCTTTGGCGGCCCCGGGGCCAGGCGAGGGCCCCAGGGTGCCGAAACTGTCAACCTTCCGTCGCGATTTTTTCACCACCCGAGGGGTCTTCCCGAGGAGCTCGACCACTCCTCCGTCTCCAGAACTGGCGCATGGGGCGCCCGATGCCTCCAGGGGTTGCGGGTGGGCCGTTGGCCGCCCTGTCCAGGGAGCCGCTTCCGTAGGGGGACCGCTCCTGGCCCCTGCAGTCGCCGTCGCCTGCGTGTCGCCTGGCGGCCATGCCGCAACCACCCTGGTTGTTCATGCCGCTTTCGAGCTTCTGGCGTGCGATTCTCGCCCAGCTCCCTCGTGCGTGGCTCCGGCGCTTCCCTTTTGCAGGATGCCCACTTGCATTTCTTTCTGCGTGCCGTAATCCGGGGGCGTGCAGGTTTGCGCGGTGACCCACGGTGCTTAGCATTGTACCTTACCTTGGCCACCTTCCGCGAAATCGACTGGCTTATACCACCCAGTTAGATTTCTAGTGGCATGTCAGGAATTTGGGGTATGTTCCGACCTTGTGTTGCTATGCTGCATGGGGGAGCGCACTCACAACGGTTAAATGCATCCTTCCGTTCACCTCTCTCTCTTCCGTTCTCCTCCTTCCCCCCATCGTGACTGGAGCTTTCTGTCTTCTGGCACCAGGTCGATTCCGCATGTGCAGCATGAGCCTTCACCCCCTTCAATTGGGGCTGCGGATCTGCATCGCGATCTCTTCTAACTCTGCTCTTGATGCGAACGGCTCGCGTGTGAGATAACACCACGCTGATGGAACTGCCTTCGTGGGAAAAGTTAAGGCGCACAGGCATTGAGGCGCTATGGGGTACACGGTTGTTGCTGCTGCAGCAGCTCGTGGTGTGTACATAGGCTTTGTGGTGTACACGCAGGCATCGACGTGTACGCTGGGACAGTGGCGCTCACAGGCACAATGGTGTACACATGCGCTGTCGTGCATGTAGGCGTTGTGGTGTGCGCAAGCGCTGCTGTGCACGTGTGTGGTGAGCACGTGCATGGTGGTGTACCATCGGCGCTGTGGTGCATGCAGGAAGTGTGGTGTACCCAAGCGTTGTGATGCACGATTGGTGTGGTGTGCAAAGGCGCTGTTGTGTACAGAGGCGCTGTTGTGTACAGAGGCGCTGTTGTGTACATCGACGCAGTGATGTACACTAGCTTTGTGGTGCACGCGGGCGTTGTGGTGTACACAAGTGCTGATGTGCACAGGCATTTTGAGATACACAGGCATTGTGGTTCACAGTAGTACTTGTGCGTACGCAGGCATGTTGCGGCGCTCCCGGCGCAGCCCGCCGTGATGCCATCAGCGCGACGCCCCCCCGATCACGCGGGTGATTGGCGTTTCATTCCGAGCGGGCTGTCGTGGCGCACGCAGCTGCCGTTGCAGCAGCAGCTGTGGTGTACACAGGCATGGCGGTGTACACAAGCAGTGCGGAGTACATATCACAAGCCCTGTGGTGCACAGGCGCCCCAGGGGGTGCGCGCCACGGCCCCTGTAGCTTAGAGTGCTGTTCGCGCGCGTACTATGGCGATCGCATCGCGACCCCGTCCCGACGCACCCCGCCCCGCCCAGGCGTTACCGTTACCTGGTACCCCGACCCCACCCCTTGGTAACGACCGTTACCAGGCCAGAATAGAAAAATGGTCTCCCGCTCTTGCATCTAGCGGCCTTCGGCCCATCCCGCCCCCGTGCCTGGGGCTCTGGGGCTCTGGGGAGGCTTCTCGGAGGACTCTGAGAGGGAGTGCTGAGAAGCCTTCCGTAGCCATCTTGGCTCAAGCCAGCTCTTGGCCCGACGCTCGAGAGCCGCCACCCCCAGGGGCGCCGCGCCTCGGGGCGCACCTCGCGCCCCCGCACCGGAGCCGTGCCGCCGTCGGGCCCCGCGGGAAGGACCCCCGCGGCGGGCTGCCGCGGCGGAGCACGAGGGCCGCGGTGTCCTGGGCCTCGAGGCGCGGAGCCTCGCGGAGCTGCGGGCCTCGTGCTCGGAGGACGGCGCGCGGATCTCTGGGCGTCTCGACGGGCGCGCGAGGTCCGAGGGCGCTCCACGCCCTGAGGCTGCCAGCCTCGCCTGGCACGACGGAGCCCGCTGGGAGCAGGCACGAGGGCGTGACCACGAGCTCGCAGCTGCGGGCGAGTGCCGCCGCACTGGTGCCCGCAGCTCGAGCATCGGCGCCTCCAGCGTAACCATGCCGCCACCCTGCGAGAAAGATCGGTATCCCTCAACAGAGAAATAATGGGCGACCTCGGCGCTGAACGAAACGGCCAGAGGTCGCTTCCGCAGAAAAGTGCCTCGGGCGGTATCCAGCGTCCTCTGGGATGCTGGGGCGTGGTTGAGGGCGGGGTGGGGGTCGGGGTCGATGCTGGGGGAGACATTGCAAGGTGGGAGGTCCTCAAGAACAGAGGTCCCAGGAGGTGAGGATGCCTCAAGAACAGAGGTCCCAGAAGGTGAGGATGCCTGGGCGTAGTGGGGGGCGAAGGGAGGATTGGGGTCCGCTTCGGTCAAGAATGGCATGTAGGGGAATCCAGCAGGAGAGGTGCCGAGAGAGGGCTTGGTCGCACACGCCTCCAGGGGTCGGTGGATTAGCAAACCACTATTGCAGCCAACGTGCTGTTACTCTCTGTTCGGTGCCCTCCACGGGGCCAAGGGAACGAGGCTGTTGTAGCGGAGGCGGCGAGAGGGAAGTGGTAAGATGGTAGTTTCTGCATTTTGAAAGGATTCAGCCTCCACTGCTTTGGTGGCTCTGACGTTTCGTTTGCGCGTGTTACTCTCGTTGTGTTCCAGAAGCTCGCGATGGGTTCCTCGTTGCTACCGTTAGACTGATCAATCGCCGTCGACTCGTCGCCAGTGGCAGCGTTGTCATCGCTGTCTCTGATTGCGCCCGCAATGGGAGCAAGCACGCGTCTTCTTTGCGAGGCCCCGTGCTGGCCGGACGAGGCCACGACCTTCTTGCTCATCGGGGGTCGCGACACTTTCCGCGGGAAGTTCAGCCCCGAGGGGTATCCTGGAGATTGAGGCGGAAGAGGTTGTGGGAGAATTTGAAGGGGAGCGATGTGGTAGACATGCAACAAGCAAGAGGAAAGAGGATACGCATGAGGAGGAAAAACGGGGGACAACGATGGTGGTGGGGGTTGTCGTGGCGGTGGTGGGAGGGAGGCGGAGGAGAAGGATGAGCACGAGGCGGACAACTAACCAGTGGGCTTTTCTCACTCATGTGTGTTGTTGTTTTTATCTTTCTGTCTGTCTGTCAATGTGTCTGTCGTCTGTCTGTCTGTCTGTCTGTCTGTCTGTCTGTCTGTCTGTCTGTCTGACTGCCTCCATTCTAGTACATACCTATATACATACACGTATCGTTCCATGTGCTGCTGTTTCTCTCTCTCTCTCTCTCATCCTCAATACTTGTGCCTTGCTCTCCCCCTCTGCCTCTCTTTCTCTCTCTCTCTCTCTGCCTTGCTCGCCCGCTCTCTCTCTCTCTCTCTTCCTCGTTCTCTCTCTCTCTCTCCCTTGCTCTCTCTGTCTCTCTCTTTGTTATGTATACGGTGGGGGCGTTCGTTAAGGAACGTGCCCAGGAGGCTTCAGACCCTGGAGGGTTCCTTACCTGATGAGGGCGGCGGTGATATCCATGGCCGATCCACGATTGGATTTCCACTGGCTTCCAGTCCCTGGATTCCTTATCCAAGGTTTCCCTATCCAATGCCATCGCCGTATGTATCACGTCCATACGTCGTGTGTCGTTTCTTTCTCTCTTTCCCTCTCTATCTCTCTCTCTCTCTCCCTCTCTGTCTCTCTCGCTCCCTCTCCCCCGGTTTGTTCTCCCGAGCGTGGCAGCTTCTCGAGGCGAAGAACTGTAGCTTGGAGCCGTCTGCATACATAAGCTCCGGGTTCCAGAGGATCGCATGCCAACTAGGACTGCCGAGCGTTTTCCCAACGCGGGTTCCGCTGTCACTGGCCAGCGTTGTCTGGCCAACACGTTTCGGAACAGGCCGCTCAAGTACGGGACCCCAGAGGTTTTTCTTATCCTCCAGACAGGGTGAACAGGGCAGGTGGGGAGAGGAGTGCCGGGCGCAGGATAAAAGGGATCTCCCGTCTTGTCCAGGCGAACCGCAGCACGAGCAGGGGCCACGAGAGTCCCCACAATATCCCAAACTATAGTCTGATACGCTCTGTGGACTTCGCCGCTGGCATACTCGGCTTGATGCCACGAAACTTGGGTCATTATGGTGAAGATTGGCTTGGCTGCTTTGGTGGGCTAGACTGGTTGGGCTTGCCGAGGAGGGGATATAGAAGGCTTCCGAGGCGGTACCCTGAAGTGGGGCGGGGTTGGCTCGGCTGGCTGGCTGGACTGGCTGAATCGGCTGGGCTGGCTAGGCTAGTTGAGCCGGCTGGGGAGGTCGGGAGGGCGCCGGAGGCCTTCCCCAGACGGCCCCGGTTGCCTTCTAGGATGCCTGCGCAACTGTGGCCAGGAGCGAGCGGGTGCGATCGGAGTGAGCTTCCTGGCAAGCAGCTTTGGCTGTGCCACGTCTGGTGGGAGCGAGCACGCTAAGAGTGTTCTTCTGTCGATGACGCGGGCGGTGGGATGAGCGCCAGCAGCGAGCCGTCGTGCTCGGGAGTGGGCATCCGGGCAGCAGCGGCGACATGGCCACATGCACCAGCAGAGAGCCAGCGCGCTCTGAGTGAGCTTCTTACTCGTCAAGCTGGCAGCGCAATGCGTGCCGGGAGCGAGCCGGTATGCTCGGATGTCGCCTCCTGGCAACGACGCTGGCAACGCGAGGTGCTTCGGCAGTGGGCTGGCACGCTCGGACTGGGCTTCCTGCCGACAACGCGACTGGTGAGCCCGCCTGCAGCAATGCTGGCAGCGCGAAGTGCGCCATGAGCGAACTGACACGCACGGAGTGAGCTTCCTGCCCGCAATTCTGGCAGTTTGACGTGCCAGGGCGCGAGCCCGCACGCTCTGGGCGAACTTCCTTGCCGCAGCCTTGGCACCGCGAAGCGCAGCGGAAGAGAACCAGCCCAGCCCGCACGTGGTGCCCATAGCAGGCACACGGAAGGGACACAGGAGGGACACCAGCCCGCAGCACTTGTGTCGAGGCAGTTGCGGCCAGAAGCCTTTGGTGAGCGTGTCGCGGCGCGGGTTCTGGCCCACCACTCGGTGGCCACATGTGAACCCCACCCCCAAACCCCATGATGTCTAAGAGGGTGGGCGGGTTCACTTCGATCGGGAGCTCCCGAGCGGAGTGACCACGCTTCGGCGCGACGCGCCAACCAGGTCCCTGTCCTGAGGCGACGGCGCCTCGAGCCTATCCCCGCCCTCCGCCCCGCGGCGCGGAGCGACGCGCTGCCCGCTCACAAAGCACAGCGTGTCGCCGGCGCCGTCTTTCTGCGCGCCCGTATTCAGCACGGACGAGATGGGTACGGAAAGAATGGGCACAATGCCCAACAGCAGTTCTTGTTCATTTTGAAGAGGATTCGCTGTCCGCGCCGCCGCAGCCTGTCTCCACTCGAGACAAGCGGCCGCCTGCCCAACAGCGGCCGCTGTCGGTTTGGGACAACATTTGTTGTTGGGCATTGTGCCAATTCTTTGCGTACCCATTTCGGGCGTCCAAACGTATCCTCTGGAGTTCGTGAAGCATGCTAGCACTAATGGCATGTACTTCGATGCGCGTTGCATCAACTGATGTTCAGGTTTCTAGGAGGGCCCGCCGTGGCAATCCGCAGCTGAGCCCGCGATGGCCCCTACCGATGCCACGGCCGGCTGCGTCAGAAGACATTCCGTTGGTTTGCCGCTAACAGCCGTCGGCCCGAAGTTCCACTATCTTTTGCAGCATGCGGGCTTCCCACTCCACCAGACCATGCGTTTGACTCGCCGGTATTTCAACGCCTAAATCATTCTTTCTGTCAGAGCAATTCTCTGTACTCTGTCTGTATGTCCGTCAATTTTGTGTTTGTTCTCTCTCGCTCTCTCCCTCTCTCTCTCTCTCTCTCTCTCCTCTTTCTCTCACTATCTCCGTAGCCATTTTGGTTCAAGGTCCGTAGCTTTGGCTCAGGACCTGGCCTCACTGGCAAGGGGGAGCAGCGTCCCCCACAGTGCCCCTCGTTTGCCTGGCCAGACGAGGTTTCTTTTCGGCGTGTCGCGCGCGCGTGTGATGGTCCCAGATCCGCCCAAGGGGCCTCCTCGGCAGCCGCGTGACCGCCCGCATTCTCAAAGTGGTTACAAGACGTGCTATGGCAAGAACTCGTGCGGCTACCAGTACAACGTGGTGGAGTGGAGCAGGTGTTTCCGCTGTAAGAAGTGGATTCGCGACGTTGTTGTTCGTGATACTGTCAAGGGGGCCCCGATACCCTGGAGAACAGGCGATCAGCAAACCCAGGACGCGTGGCAGTTGGTGGGCAAGAAGAGTGGCCGAGGCCGCAAAGGTGGTTCCATGTCCGATCACGATGCTGCTAACCAGGGCGCCAGTAATTCCCCAAGCGGAGGTGCATTTGCCAAGCCTGGTCCTGGGTTCGGCAAAGGAGGCGCTGCTGCTCGTGCCAAGGGGAAAGGTGGTGAGAACAACAGGGCTGCCAAGCAGGAGTACTTGTCGGCCGCAATCGAGCAGCTCACCTTGGCAGGACTTGGGCCCGAGCACCCACTGGTTGTGGCAGCAAGGGCCCAGATCCCAGTCGTGTCCGCCGTGCCTGATGACAACCAGGGCCAGACACCTTGGATGCGGGTGCGATCTCATCAGGACAAGTTGGCCCACTACCAAGGCCAGCTTCAATCGGCGCAGGCTACGGAGGCATCAATCAAGCAGAAGCAGGCCGAGCTCGAGCAGGACCTTACGGAGTGCCTGGGGTCTCAGAAGAAATTGGCGGAGTCTGTCAAGCGTGAGGAGGAGGAGGAGTTGCAGCGGCTTCACCGCCGCGCCGTCCTTCACCCTGTGGGAGCTGATGGGAAGTCGGCCATCGCGGGCTTGGTTGAGACCTTCTTCGGCCATCTCCCAGCAGGCTTCAAGTCGGCGAAGGCGGCCCAGTTCCAGTCGGTTGTTGACCTTCTGGGCGATCTGTCAGCGGCAGGGCTCCAATTCCAGCAGGAGGAAGAGGCGCGCCAGCGACAGGAGGCCGAGGCGGCGGCCCAGCGGGCGGCTGCTGGCGGCGATGCTTGTGATGCTGGGGCTATTTCGACGTCGGCGATCGACTTCAGGGTTGCCGAGGATTGCAAGCAGCAGCTCCAAGATCCCATGCAGGGTGGCAGAGCTGGGCAGTATGAGGGCCTCTTCAAGACGATGTTGGAGTTCCTGGAGAACCCCACGGCCCTCACCAAGCGTCCCAGGCGCGAACCCCCAGCGCCTGCTGCGGCAGCTGCATCTGAAGGTCATCATGTTCCTGGTGCTGGGGCTGGCCACGTCCCTGATGCTGATGCTCCCGCAGCTGCAGGTGATGGACTTCAGGGGGGGGGTAACATGCTCGGCAATGTGTCGGAGGTGGCGCTGAGTTCTCTCTCGAGTTCTCCATCGCCGTCTGGTCCCTCTTTGTGTGCACCTGAGGTTTCGGCGGGCGCGAGAGGCAGGTCCGCCGGGACCGCGACCGCTTTGGTGGAGGTCGCGGGGAAGCAAGGCCCCCAAATTTGCGGCGAAGGTGGGGCCTTGCGAGGGGGACTGGAGACTCGTGCCCGCCAGCCGCTTTCCCAGCCTCAGGCGTATATTCTTCCCCCATCGGCACCCCCAGCGGAGGGCCCTCCTTCTATTAGGCCAGTTCGACGACATAGTCGTCATGAGGTCTGGAGGATCTGCTCGTCTAATATTACTTCGTGGGGAGTGGAGTGCGACAGGGGCTCCAGGGTCTCGCGCAGGCCTCTCCTAGAGCTGATTGACGCCGTGGGGTCCGAGTTGTTTCTGTTCCAGGAGCACCGCCGGACTGAGTTTCAGCTGGCGGACGTCCAACATGCTTTGCGGAAGGCAGGGCTGGATCCTTTGCTATCCCCAGCGGCGCCGTCGGGACGTTCAGAGTCTGGCACGTCTGG